AGCTCTAAGTACAACAAGCTAGTCCACTCTACCCTATCACAGACTCAAGTTCGACAAACTTTCTTCCACCGTCTCCCCAGACTATGGAACTCCCTACCCCCAGTAGACCTATCAATATCAATCTACAAATTTAAGACTCTAGTAAATCAGTACTTTAATGACAAATTTAATAATGTTTTTAACCCAAATGATGCACACACTTTTAATACTGTTTGTCCATGCTCTAAATGTTTGTCTTGTCCTCTTCCCTCTTCTTTCACTGCTCCCTCTTAATTTTACTATTCTGTGTCTGTGTGTTTATTTATTTCCTCCTGGGTGTCAGGGCAACTGTTCCTGACAACCCATCAGGACTTTCTTCCTCTCTCCTCTGCCCTTCTCCTGTCTGTTTTTCTCTACTCTGTACTGATAAGTCCTGTAAAATTCTAATAATAATAATAATAATAATAATAATATTTATTTGAACAATCAGTACAATTATCTTATAAATTAAAATTCTCATTGTGTCATTACTGTAGAGTATAAACTGAAATTGAAGCTATTGACTAAAGGGAAGTTGATAAATGAAATATTCAAATCAAAGAAATCAGAGACTCAGTATTTCCGAACCTCTCTCCTAATGAAAGCAGGTACTGACTCTACTGGTATAATCTGTCTATACTATCTCATCACAGGAAGAAAGGAGGCATTAGTGGAGTATAAGCAAGAGATTGAGTTACTACAAGAAAATGTATCAATAACTAGTGCACAACTGCTGATGAGTCAAAAGGGGAATATTGAGAGTATGTGATAGGTTAATAATTAAATCATTAAATGATTCATATAGAGAAGGATCAGTGTACACAATCACTGGATACACCAACAGCAGAATCTATTTACACAGCATGTATTGACTATCATCGAATATATAGTGATGATCTTTCATTCAGTGAGGGAGAGCAGCTGGAGATATATGACAAGTCTCAGAAATTTTGGTGGGAAGGAAGATCCTTGGTGTCTGGTGATGAGAGAGACATTCCTAGTAGTTGTGTTTACTCAATGTTGGAGTTACTTCAATTGTTAGAGTTTATACTGTCAGTGGAAGAAGTATCCCTTCCTATTCTTCAGAAGATAAGGAATGATTCATCTAGTAATGATGAGAAAGCTTCTCTTTTCTTGGAGACTATTAATGATGATCCTATTATGATATCTGCACTAAGACAAGACAAGGAACAACATGATAAAGGTAATATTTGTGATTATTGTGACAGTCAGTATAAGCATTGATGAACATGTAATGTCATGTGTACATGCATACTTGTGTATGTAGCATGTACAATGTACATGTAATTTTATACATTATATTATTCCTGTCCCTACATATGTACACATTACATGTGTGTATGCATGTACATATTTATTGTGTGTGTGTATTTGTTTATTGGTTGTAGTGACAACTAGCAAGTTGTGTGTGTTTGTATATACACATGATGTGAATATGTGTATTATTATGTACATACATGTATATAAGCATAATCCTTTGGTTTATATTAGGAGTCACTGGGAGAGTGTACTGGTACAGTGACAGGGTATCCCTTGACTATCCATCTCCAGTTCAGTGTAATGAAGTGATTAGTAATATTAACAATAATCATAAGGAGATTGAACTTAGCAACTCATCTACTAATAGTATAGTATCTCTACTATCATCAACTAAACTACATACCCTAAACCTGAGGAGACTTAAGATATGGTACACTCCATTAACTAATGATTGTATCCAGTACTTGTGTATACTACTAACTAATAATAAAACAATCCAAGCACTAGTCATCAGTTACCACTCCATTAGTGATAGAGGAGTTACTAATATCTGTCAAGCACTTAAACAAAACTCTACACTTTCCTCATTACTTCTTACTGATAATCCTCTAATCACTTCTACTAGTGAACAGGCTCTTTCTCACCTCCTCCTCAATAACTCATTACTAGTTGAACTAGATATATGGAAGACTTCATTGTCTACTGAGTCAATACTACTCATCCTCCAGTCACTAAGAAATAATAAGAATATAAGGAGACTCATACTAGACAAGCGACACAAAGAGACTTGTATTAATACTTATCCTAACTATCACCTCATACAAGACAGAGTAGACTGGTACTAAATTATGTGAACTTGTGTATCTTCACCAAAAACAAGCGACCAATCAGAATACACTATACATAAAAGGCTAATCTGTTATTTTATTAATTCTATTATTTTTGATATACATCATTTCATATCTCATTCTTATCAATTAGCGTGTGGTTCACTTCTTCTAGTCCCACCCACAAAAAGTGACAACAAATCATTTCAATATTACTTTAATCGTACAATGTATAATTAGAAATGATGTACATGTACAATTAATAATAATAATGATAATAATAAATACTCCAGTCCTTCATACTGTTATGTTTTGAGTCAGAAAGTAACTAACAGAACTAGAATACTTGATCCACAAACTGAAGAGAGAGGGGTAGATCAGTTCTTGATACTGGAGAGGTACGCTTTGGTACAAAATTATTGTTAGTCTTAGGATCATGAAGGAATGGTAATTGAGATTGATCAGACTGTCCCACCAAATTAAACTAGAAATAATGAGAGAACTACTGAATAAAAGAGACTGTATATATTATAAGACTGGGGTTACATACATTAAGTAAATATAATCTTATATGAAATATAAGAGGTCCCTCTAATAGAAGTAATGGGTACAAATTAAAGATAGGAAACAGAAGCATGGGGCTTGAATTTTATCCTTTTCAATTTTAGCAAAACTTAGCCCAAGACCATTATAGTATAGGAAGTTTCACACAATTTTGAAGAACTTTAAAACTGTAAAAAATTCAAATTTGATTGTAATTAACTCAAACATTCTACATAACATAAGTACATGTACATGTAAATAGATCAAAAAATGTAATAAAAATTTGGGGTGATTTTGGAGTCATTAAAAAAATGGACGTAACTTGAAAATTTGAAGCCGGAATCAACTCAAAATTTCTACATAGCATAAGGGCATTAGTGTGTATCAAAAAATATAATGAAAATTTGGGTTAATTTCAGAGCCATTTTTTTGAGCTAATAGCCTTGAATACTTTACAAAATTTTGGCATTTTCTTGAAGTGGCTGTAATTAACTTTAAAAATTGAAATTCAAACTTGCTACACTGCATAAGGACATCAATATGTATCAGAATATGCAATAAAAAGCTCCGCCTGACTACTATAGCCTTGGGTAATTTCAGATAAAAATAAAGTGAATAAAGAAAGCTAAAATTTGGTAACATGAGACCAATTTTAAATTTCCATTAATTTATGCACATGCACAAGGAGTCAGGACATAGTTCCCCCAGTACATTAAAACCAGCGGTCAGTTACTATAAATGTATTAAGTACCAGCTGGAGTATATTAATCCCATCCAATATTAGCCAGGCTCCAGTGCATAGTGTATATGTATGCCACGGTACAGTGAGTTGTACACATACTTTAATGTCCTCTCTATTATTGATGTCCTATACACCTCCTCTTGATCCAACTGTACAGTAATTTACAGGTCACGGGACTTTAATCCTAAACTAAAAAAAAAGAAAGATAGAGACAGAGAAAATTAAAGTAAAATCTCCAGTACTAGTGAAAATGAAGCTTCCATAAGTTCCATTCGGTTCCATTTCAATTAGGTAGGTGTTGCTCATAAAAATTTAATTTGAGAAAATGGAGGACAAGCGAAGACAAGACTGACACCACTAGAAGACAAAATCTCTTATCAAAGAGGGTTTGGGGCTGCATGGAGCCACAGGAACTAATCCCTTAGATCTGACACCGTGATTAGTAGATGTAAGGAGAGTGAACATATTGTAAAACTATAAAATAGTGCCTTTAAAGGTTTCACCGAGGGTTTCACCCAGTATTGTATTGTATAGAGCCAGCTGTTTCTGAGTCATAGGAGTCACTTATTAAAGAGAATGTGCTGTTCCAGTCATACATGACCTTTAGGAGAATCTAAGACCTAGTTTGACGTTTTCTAGCGTACATAGATTTCAGTTCCTACACATGTCCAGAAATTGCAATGGGACTTCCGGTCGCGTTAATTTAATGATATTCATTGGAATTACCATAGCAACGGCAGTTCAGCAATGGTGGATTGATAGGAAGCTTCACTACAAAGCTTGCTAACATCTTTCTGGTACATGGATGGGACTTCACTAGATACATGAGGCTTCTAGAATGCTACTTAATGCAATTGGTTATGGTAGTTTTTTCATATTCTTTTGTTAAAGTGGCAAGCGTGGTGAAAGAACAGGCTCTTCTCAACAAATGGCCGTCTTACTTCAAAAAGGTCTAGAGACACTATTTGCTTGTATATATAAGATGTTAAGCACTCTTTCTTTCACTTTATTATTCCTAAGAGAAGAGGAACGCACTTGTGACTTGTTGACTCTTGCTGCTGCACCCGTCATCATTGAAATGGCTAAAATTACTTCACCTTCAGGAGACAAATGTTCCAAACAAAGTTTTGAATTTCTTTATCTTTTTTGCATCATTGGGTAGTAAGAATTTTGTACTTTCACAAAATAAGTGAGCAAATTGTCAAAAATTGTTTGAAATTTAGATATAACCATTCAAAAAGTAAAAAAAATTATCATACATACATAAAGGAATGACAAGATGGCGGCACTGACTGCCTCATCTTCAATTGGTAAATGTTCCACACAAAGTTACTCCAAATGCTGTAATATTTAGCAGGAACACAGGTAGATAGATGAAGAACAGGTACTGAAGTGCGCAAATTGATGATTCTTATTGTAAAGAAAGATATAGCCTAGTAAATGGAAATGTCCATTCCTGCAGTGTATAAAGTCAATCAGTGGTATACGGAGATAATTGCTCAGTATACTACTCCGTGTCCACTCATTTCTGGACATGATGAGACTAGCTTTCTCTGCTTTGAGTGTCATTTTACTAATACATGTACTTAATCATCAACCAGTTTGAAGGTATGGGAGCTAGAAGGAAGGGTTTATTTATTTATATGCAATGTATTATACATGCATAATGTACATAATGATGAGCTCCGATTGTTTGTTAATACATGTACATGTAGCTTCATTTCTGTAAGTAAATATTGTTGGTTGTCTATTAATCATTTTTTATATTGACTGCTAATTATTCATCTCTCTCTTCTTCTCTGTCTGTCTGTCTCTCTTTTCTTATAGTGTGATGTCAAGAACTTGGAGATCACATGATGAAATTGACGAGCCAGACAAAAGACGTACATGTAGCAGTTGCTACGGAAAGATAGAATCAATCAAAGATTTGATCTTACTGTAAGTTGTACAATGGAGCCTAGCATTTATTGTACATAGAATGAGGACATTTTGTAATACTCCAAGTCCCCAAACCTTAACGTTACCATATAAAGTACCTATAGTGTCTACCAGTACATGTACTTCTGACGTTACATGTACTTGTACATGTACTTGTAATACGACTAATGAATATGATTATAAGTACTACCCATGATAGACTTATACCAATTATGCTAATATTTTATAGACACAGTTGTAATGTTTTGTCTTATATTGAAGTTGCCTTGCTCTATTTGTAATAGTTGATACTACACATACACAATTGATACTCATATATGATTATTAAATTCTCTCTTTTTTAGTCTCTGTTGTCAGTAGGGCAGAATGAGAACTGTGACATTACAGTAGGAGGTTGCTGGTATGTGGTGTTTGAACCAGAAGATGATACTTCTCTTCCTCCTGCTTGTACTGGACTCTCTCCTCTCTATACAACCAGCCGCTCCCTTTACTATAGTTTGTTGTATTTTATCAAAATTTTAATTTTAATTTAGCAAAATTAGTCATTTTTATTGTCACATTATATTTGCATACGTTTTGCAATGCTTCTTCATCGTAAGCTGCTAAGCTGCTACATTAATATTTGAAGTCACCTATTAATTTGATTATAAGTGATTTAGTTAAAGCTGATTATTTATTTACTCCTATGTAACCAATATGCATTAATGTTTTCATGCTGTGTAGAAAGTTTGGGCTGATTCCGATCAAAATTAGATTTTTTTTTACTAATTTTTAAAGTTGCTCAAAAATCGGGCCAAAGTCCCTGTACTATAGTACAGGGTTGTTGGCCAAATTTTGTCAAAAATGAAAAGTAGAGAATTCTCATTTTTTAATTATATTTTATGATGCATATACATGTTATTATGTTGTGTAGAAAGTTTGAATTGATTCCGATCAAAATTAGATTTTTTATTAATTTTTGAAGTTGCTCAAAAATTGAGTCAAAGTCCCTGTACTTTTGCCAAAATTGAAAAGTAGAGAATTTTTCACTTTTATAATATTTTCTGATGCATATACATGTACATGTACTTGTGTTGTATAGAAAGTTTGAGCCGATTACGATTAAATTTTGAATTTTTATAAATTTTTAAGTTGCTTAAATTTAATTCACTTAAATTCACTGAGTTCTCAACTCATCAATCACAGAATGTGTCAGTAGCCGAACCAGTTCTTTCATCTCCCTCTCGTACTATGGGAGGAGGAGGAGAGATAGTGTCACCATCTCCTACCAGTCCAATGAGTAGCACATCAACTGATAGGAATAAAGTAAAGGGGAGGGAGAGGGGAAGAAGAGAGGGTTCATCTTGTTAAATTTTTATTATTTTTAATATTTCTTAAATTGTCTCATCTGTACATGTACCTTTGAGTTGTGAACTTTTTATTAAAATACATGTACATGTAAACTGTACATGCTTTATACATTGTACACTGTACATTTAAGTTAATAATTATTTTTGTAATTATTTTTGTTAGTCTCTTGGTTTGTCTCAGATTTGGTGTCAGTGTCTACTAAAGTGTCTGGACCTCGTAAATGTTTAATGTCCAGCAATGATGAAGAAACACTTAACATAATGATTAATGAGAGAGAAGTAATGAAGATTAAAGGTATTAATTACAACTGTATGTAATTATTATGTACGTGTATATTACCAAGAGTGGATATTTATGTTTTATTACATTTTCATTATAGAAAGAAGTGGAATGAAATACGTTGACTCTTTCTTCAAGAAAAAATGAAGTAAACATGTAAATAAATAATACACGTATCTTTATCTCTCTCTCTCTCTCTCTCTCTCTCTCTCAGATTATTATTTTGCTCTTGCTCCAACATTTCCTAAATTTTGAATAGTTTAGAAATGAGAAGTGAAGTCCTTGAGACAGTATGATTCTAAAAGAAAGAAAAACAATTATCATTATTATTAAATTTTTGTCCATAATTTTGGTGATTAGCTGGTTTAATTATTTTGATTTGTCAAATTAATATCCAGGAGCCATTGAACATGCACATGTAATTATGCAATTATTTGGCAAATGGTTATCAAAATGCCAAAATCACTAAACTTTCTTTACTTCAAAAATTACACATATTTATTGCAGTGTACATGTACTAACTGGATTCTTGGGTCGTAGTCCGAACAACTTTGGACTCAAAATGGCCGGAGCAAAAACCTCAAAAAGATAAACCCACTTATTGACGTGAATCAAACTTCATCTTTAAACTCTAAAGTGGGTGGAGCTAATAAAGGGGGTGTGGTTAGTGGGTGTGGTCTCACCAGAAAATTGTTTGACTGATAGTGTTCGTAATAAATGAAACATTCTCTTCATAACTGAGGGACAGGAACGAGCAGAACTAGTAATGGCACTTATGAGATTCTCAACAAAAAATAAATCAGTCTATGGAGAGAGAGAAATAAATTATCATGAATATGTTAATACTGTATTAGAAAATGTTATGTATAGTCAACTAAATTAACTTTTGAGCTCCAGCACTTTACTGGCCATTATTCCCTCCTAGTCATCCTCTGCTAAGCATCTTATAAAGTCCAACAGTTCATCTCTTTGCTTCTTGCTAGCTCCTACCCAACTCTTTTGAAAGCAGCCAAACAAGTGGTCCAACTGATTGGAAGAGAAGTCCCAGGCTAACTAAACTAACAGTTCATGTATGTTCTTCACTATAGCCTCATGTTTACCATCCTATGGAGTAAGGGGATAGTAGTTGTTTATTTATTTGTTTGTTTGTTTCTTTCTTTATTACTTGACGGTTCCATATTCTGTCCAGGTCTTCAAGCATCAATACTTTCTCTTTTATACAAAACCTCACCAGCTTATCCAACTTCTCCACATACTACAAGAACAAGAAGAGAAGCAATATATACAGCATAAACATGTACAATATGTACACACCCTCTTCCCCACTCTCTCTCTCACTTACTTGTGGTTGGTGGAGGTTATCTCTAAAGAAAGACAATAGCTAACACATTATTGGTTTTAATCCACTCCTAAATAAATAAATAAACGAGACACCTACGGTGCGTGGCCTCGCCCCTATAGCTGTTTGATTATCAAAATTAAAAGAACTTTAGCATGCAAATTGCATATATACATAAAAAAGTGTACTCCTGAGGGATAGCAGCTAGCTTGCATAGATCTACCAGACTACCTGCAGAAGTAGCAGCATACAAGCTAATCCAGCTACTCCCAAATTGGAGGTGTGGCATTACATTATCAACAATTAATTAATTATTAGATGGAAACAAGAAGGAAGTTTCAGATTTTTCTCTTGTTATAAGCGCTATATGACATTATAATGGCACAAATACTGTTGCCTAGATGTAAACTGAGTGATTTGAGAGAGTTTAGGACCTTTAGACTACCTACAGTTCACTCGGGTTGAAATTCAAGAAGCTATAACTCACCAACAAGAAAGATTTAAAGAGTCCCACAAATATTAAAACAATAACTAGTCTTGATCTACTGGAAAAGAATCTCACTTACCTCCAGAGTACTACCACTATTGCTGGGCATTTTCTTGTGAGATAAAAAGCTTCTACTAGCTAGAGCTGCTCTCTAAACATCTCAAGGCAGTGAAGCAAGACTTTTCCTAACAGAAGAGAAGCTCTCACAGATTTAGAGCACACGATTATAAAGATATACATTCTCAAAGACAAAATATAGCACACAGAATGAATGAATGACAGACAGGCAAACTGAGTACCTAGTCCTCGCCTACGCAAAGCTGGGCGAGGCCAATAAATAAATAATAATAATCAACTGACAGCTATTCTTTCAGTTGTGAGTTGTTCCTCATCTCCTATTGTCCTGAAGTGAGGATGATAACTCATTGAAGAGACAATCTTATTAATCTATTAATAATAATAATAATAATAATAAAATAATGAATATAAATTACTTCATTGAGGGCATTCATTTTCCCACTAAAGCTCGGTATTTGTAATAATCTTAAAATCATTTTTAAACGAAACGTTTCAATATCATCTCTACCAGGAATCACTGAACACAAGTGACACAAAGACTATAAGGAGAGGAGAGAATATAAGGGCATCAATATATATCAGAAAATGTAATAAAAATTTGGGGTGATTTCGGAGCCATTTTTTGAAAAAAAAAACCATGGGCCATGGGCCTTGGGTATTTTTCAGAATTTTGGCATTTTCTTAAAATGGCCATAACTTGAAAAATTGAAGTCGGAATCAACTCAAACTTGCTACACAGCATAAGTACATCAACATGTATCAGAAAATGTAATAAAAATTTGGAATGATTTCGGAGCCATTTTTTGGAAAAAAACCATGGGCTATATATAGCCTTGGGTATTTTTCAGAATTTTAGCATTTTTTAAAATGGCCATAACTTGAAAAATTGAAGTCGGAATCAGCTCAAACTTTCTACACAGCATAAGGACATCAATATGTACACAATATAATTGGCCACATTCCCACTGATATCACAATACTATTATTACCCTAAACTATATCATACCTTCATTATTGAAGAGAAGGTCTCACTCCTTGAGTCAGTGGTGGCCTCCTTCTTAAGTAAATCATCATTTCAACTGTTTATAAACTCAATGGATTTATCCTGTGAATGTATACATGCATAATAAATAAATAAATAAATAATATTATATTTAATTACATTATACAAACTCACCACTATTGCTATGATGTAGTCATTCCTAACTCTCTCAGTTAAAAAACTTGAACACAAACCCAAAGGCCTGAAATTAATTATTAACAATAGTTAATTAACTAGTGGTTATATTAATAATAGTTAATTAACCTAACCTTAATAAAAAGGACAGTATATTCACTGTTAGTTCTCCTTGACAAATTCTCTTCTTTAAAAAATCAAACCCACCCAACTGGCCAAACCGGTTTATCAAGTCAACAAGACGACCCTATACAAACAAGTAAACATGTAAACAAATTAACAAACAAACAACCTTCATGTTGTGTTTATGAGCATCAGGGAGTGGCCTGGCATACAGTAACTCCTCCCACTTCTCTCTCTAACAAATGAAACAAATACATTAACATAAGTACATGTACTTTAATACCTTTATGTATTAATACATTAATATACTGATAATACCAATACACGTATGTACATGTACATGTACATGTACACATGCATAAATGCATTAATACATGTACATTAATATACCAGATACATGTACTAATAGATGCAGTACATGTACATGTACTTACAGGAACACATGACATAGGATCTTCTGATGAATTAAACACATTCAATCTAAAGGGAGGTAGTTATTAATAGTTATTAATGGTTATTAATGATACTCACTTGCATGATGGATTAAAAACTATTGCCAGTAAATCTAAAAGGTAAGTGGAATCATCTTCAATTTTATATACACACAACTCCACAAGATATCTTGAATTATTATAAATATCAAGCTACAGTAAATAAAGGAACACATCATACCAATACTTTATATTAATAGAGTACAGCTGCTAATATGGACAGGTAATGTAGGCTTTAATTGATTGTTAAAATGAACTCTCTCTAGGACATCAAAATATCAAATTTGTCAAATTCCTCCTCTTCAATATTACCGGCTGTACATGTATATGTATACAAACCTGTATGTCCGGTTTCCAAGTCTTCACAGCCTCATCAGTCAATATTCTTATAAATGAGGTAGTCAATCCTTCTCTATAGAACCGCTGACATTCTTCAAATTCTTTATCTCGTCCTGGAGGAGGTGTGGCTTACATGTAGATCTCATTAAATATTCATTACTTTCTTTCGCCAGTTTAATTGATGCTTTAATTAATGTCTCCAGTTCATCATTAGCTCGTACTGGCACCACCCACTTGGGACGTCCCAACTGCTCATCAAGACTAGCCAGTAACTTTAATGGGAAATCCTCAGATGAATCTCCACCCACTTTATCATCTACTGTAAATGATACTCTTATTAATGCCCACCA